TCTCATCTAGAGACAACGGAGTCCTCGAGATAGAGATCATCCCACCAAGCCTAGGCGCTACATTCCTCCAAGATGGATGCTCACTGGGAATAACCAAGAAAGCGCTAGTGCAGGGCTTCACGGTCGCGCGCCAGCTCTTCTTCGACCGATTAATGCCCATGTCCGAGGATGACATTCAAACCACCTTTTCCGCAAACGCGCAGTCCAGAAATGCAGATTCAGCTATTACAGAAATGATGCTCCTCTTTGACTGTGAGCATCTCACAGCCTGTAACTGGCGCAAGCGCCTACTGCGGGCAGCCATGACGCATTACCCTGGTATTTCAAACCAGACCTCTGCCGCAACGGAGTTGTTAGAAGCCGAACTCACGCTCATGTCGAGCTACCAGTGCTCGCCACTACACCGTCATACCAAGTCGCCAACACTCTGGCATCACCGGCTGTGGGTGGTCGTCCATCTGCTTCAAAGGCGGCATTGGAGTCCCGAGGATCTGCTCAAGCTGCAACGGACGGAACTGGAAGTTGTTCTCCGCGCTGGGGAGTTGCATCCCAAGAACTATTATGCTTTTAGCTATATGCGACAGTTGGGTGTGCTCCTCGCTGCTACAGTAGAGAAGACGACTGGGCAATCCACGTGGGAAACCCATTCGGCGCAGTCAGTTGTCGAACGCGTAGTCGATTGGTGCTTGGCTAATCCACGGGATATATCGGGTTGGAGCTTCAGCCTCTACGTGCTGAGCAATGCTCCAGAGCAACATCGAGCGAACGCTCTTGAGAGAGTGGTCAATTTTGCACTTAACGTTGGGTGGGAAGGCGAGAGCCTTTGGACGTTTGTCGACCAAGCATCGCGGCAGTTTGGGCTTGAAAGTGTGGTCGAGGATATCATGCTGTCGCACTGCGATCAAGAAACCAGATCTCGTGATTCCCAAGAGGTCCGAGACATTCAACAGAAGAAGTCATGGCAGACCTGGCTGGCCCGGGCGAGAGGATGTTGGGTCGTAGACGGCCAAGGGCAAGATATATGACCGAATGTGACATACATATGTAGATGTATATATCTTTTTACGTGTTTACGATTACCACCAAAAATTGCACCTCCATGATATTTCTCATGTGTCGTTACCTCGTTTGGTCAGCGCTTTGGTATACATGCTTGGGCTATATATATGATGAACGCCAATGAGATTCAAATGAACGCCTCGCTAGACACACAGCCCCCGGCTTTTGATAATTGGACATAGGCGGATGGTTCTGTTCTTGTCCATAAATCCAGTGCCGTCCTTCACTCGTAGTACACTTTGCGATGCTGCTCGGTGGCTTGTCTGCTTCGGGCGATCGCGGTAAAGGTGGAGGGAGATGAGATTGACTGACAGGTTGGATCGATGGACTGAGGTGTATTATTTTTTGCCTTTTCCTGCTGCTGCCTCGGCGGCTTTCTTTTCATCCGCTGTAGAAGAGAAGCAATCAGTAAACCAGTCTCATAGCGTGGGTTGGACTTGCGCCTAGCGCCTTCGGGGATACATACCCTTCCTCTGCTTCTCGCGCATGATGGCAGCGGCGTCTTCCTTGCTCCTAGCGAATTCGCTACCGGTCTGGGTGTTCTTGTTCTTCTGTAGAGATGGTCAGTATGAACAAAGAAGAGCGGGGGAATAAGACGAACCGTATTGCCCGCCTTCTTCAGGGCCTTAGCCCGATCGTTGTCACGTTGGTTACCCCGTGTCATGGTTATAGCGATATTATTCCAAGAGTATCGAAAGTAGTGGGCGCAAAACGTTTGGAGAGTGAGAGGGAAAAAAAGTTTGGAGGGGTCGGCTGGATTCCGGCGAATCATAGGAGTTTCACTCATCTAGTACTTCAGTACGGAGTATACCTTGAGGATACACTTCTTCTCAACACTCTTGATTGGGTTGTCGGAGTATTTCTTTGTTAGTTTATCCCATTTACTCATTTGACCAGCGACTAGGTGCTCGGTGTGATTGGGCGATATTCTTTACCTTGTTTCAACTCTAGCTTTCTACTTCACACTGGCGCTTCGCCTCAAAGCCCACTGCCTACAATTTATTTTGCCTTTCAAATATCTTGCCAGATCCACGTTGATACATGTATGACCTAGAAGTGTTTTACATTGTTTTAACTGTATTCATCAGGTGATAGGACATGTTTGGGTCATGTAGAGACAAAATACGGGGAACACAGGGAAAAGAAGGGCGACTTGTAGCCGCCAGTGAGTTTCAGCATGGTCGAGTATCTTTCAACAAGAGCCAGTCATTTTGCTACATCGGGCCTCAGTTTAGATCCCAATGACGGAGACGTGGTAATTAGACTTGTTCCAGCTACCCCGATCTCTGCGCTTAAAAGTCCCTATTTATTACATGGACAACAATGAAACACCTCCTGCAGTATACCTCTCTGCAGAAATGGGGTGAAGAACCCTGCTGATCTCTTTCAGTAGGACTCTAATTAGATACATACCATTTGTGTGGTTCATCCAGACGTTTCAAGTCTATTCATAGAAAACACACTATCGTCTTTGTCGGGAGCATACATTTAGGCTGCTGCACCTCAATAGCCATTCTTCCATAGATGCCTTTCTTCATTATCGCCATTCACCCTTCTCGTTTGTCTTTGTCTTTCTTTCTTCTTTTCTTGCCCTCGAGTTGATCTCGTTCTATCGCATTGTTCTATTCTTCCTTGGAATTATCAAGCTTTCTGCTGGACAGTTGCTTTCTTCCCTCTTTTAATCCCAACGCGACCCCTCCAAGTCTGCTAGCAGACAATCTTCTATACATCCTCGACAGCGAGTATCTACCTTCCCTGGCTAGTGCAGAAACAAGCCTGTACCTCAATCATGATGACTCGTTTGCGTGAATCCCTGGCTGGTCCAGGGTACGTGATTCTGAACGTCATTCGCGTTCTCAACATTATCACTTTTATGGACCTTATAGCTGCTTGTGCAGTCATGCTGGCCAAGATCGACATGCTAAACAGCTTCTTCTTCTTCGAGGCTGTGACCCATGCCGTGGTGGCTCTGGTCAGCCGTAAGTATAATCTTCCTTCCATGTTTGTTGTATAAATACTAACGTTGGCAGTCTTCATGATAATCTCGGAGCTCCCAGTCCTCCAAACTTATTTCGATAACCACTGGCCGATGTTCGGACAAGAATCTAGCTTCTACTCTCTCGGCGGGATCATGATGATCCTGGGAGTAGCGACACTGGGCAACCTGAACACCAAGGCCATGGCCCAGGAGACCATTGGCATGACTTTCTGGCGAATCATCATCTCTGCCGGTGTCCTGGCCATGATAGTTAGCGTGGTAAATGTTCTGGCCGTAAGTATCGATATCAAAAACTTTGAAACCCCCCAATGTACACTTGGCCCAATGCTAACCCATTTCCTCCAACAGAGCTACATCTTCAGTGATCCCGAGACCGGTGTCAGTGCCCGCCAGGTGCGGGTAGACGGCGCCGTCGCACCCCAAAAGGCAATGAGCCGCACCAGCAGCCACCGCACCCTCCATTTGAGCGTGAAGCGCGAGGAAACCCTGCCCACCTACACTCGCCAGAACCCCGTCAAGCGTGCCACTAAGCGTCTCACTGGCCGGTTCCCGCTCAAGATCTCCAAGCCCATGAACCCGACCCTCGTCGAGGAGAATGACGCCGCTTCCTCCAAGTACTCTCGTGACTCTGCAGAGATCCGCCCTCCTGATCTCGCACACCATCCTGCTATGTACTCGGGCCACATGGTTTGAGCTGGTTGGCTAGTCAACTAGGTCGAAAATGGCGTTATTTTGAAGGAAAGGAAAGAATTGCACCGTTGAACCAGAAATCTTGCGTTATTGCGATGGGCGCACTCGGCGCTGTTTTATTCCCCTGATCTTTTGCTTTTGCTTCTTACTGTTTAACTGATTTAATTGACACATATCATTTTTGTGCTGGACCATTTGTATGGTGTGTAGCTATTGCTAGTAGTAGATTCGAAGGGAAAACTAAAAAGAGCATATGTATTTGTAGATTAGAACGAAGTACACATGGTTGGTGGTAAAGGCAATCTCCAGAAAGGACGGGACCCACGTTTGGCCCCGACTTCAATGAAGCTACGTTGGACATTCGAACACTCTTACACCTTTCTTTCGTCAAAACTCGATCCAACTTGTTCGAGTTTCCGATGAAGTAAGGTCCATATTCTAAGCGGATATGGCCACAATCGCAATATCCTGGGGAACGTAAGTCTTGAAGCTCTCCACATCCTACGCAATCTATCCTAACCGTGAATAGCGTCAAATCACTCCTCATATTTTTCGGCCCAGTCCTACTCCCACGCTTAATTACCGCCTATCGAGGTCTCCGTGTGTCCATCGCGAGTCGGCCACAGCCGCGTCCACTGCCTGCCGCGCCCGGTCGAGCGCTGAACATCTTATTCGGTGGCATCGTTTTCTTTCTACTCCTAAGCCTACCTTTCAACCCCCACGCGCCCGAACCCAACGTCTTCTCTCAGACTCGCTCTCGTCTAAACACCCCTACCGATGTCATATTCAACCGTCTCGCCCGGCTTCGGCCAGGTAACCTCCTCACCGAAGCCGACACCCTCCTCCAGTCCAAGTTCACCTCTCTGGGTGCCCGCAAGGTATACCTGACCTATGGCCCCGATGCCTTAGTCTCGTGCCAATACTGCTCCTTCGACAACCTCTACACATACCTCATGTACTACCTCCCATTCCACGTGTTGCTACCACACCTAGCGCACCTGCTGCTCCTAGGCGTGGCCACATCCGCGCCCATCGCAGGGCGTGAGGCCTCCCGCTGGCGCACAAAGTTCACCATAGCCGGACTTGTCCTCGCAGCCATCGACATCTACATCATGGCCACCTACGATGCGATCCAGGGTGCGCCACGCTCTGTGCGTGCAGGCCAGACACCGCCCTCCAGCATCTACAACAACATCACGCTCTTGCGACCGCTGGCTTTCGTGATATGCGATGTGACCTGCTCGCTTGTGATCTGGCTCTCCGCGACTAACCGGTTCTTTTTCAAGCCGCCCTCGACAGTTGAGCAGGTCGATCAGGCGGTGTCTGCGGCCGTGCGGACGCTCATGGGCGCAAACTCGAGACTCCATGCTGCGAGCGTTACGCGCAATGCGGTGGTTCGGGATTCGGCTTTGAAGAATCGAGACGATTTGTATTGGCGGACTATGGTGGCTTCCGAGAACCCCACTCAAGGCCCTGGAGAAGGTGGGGAGCAAATCCTCAACAATATTTGGGAGGAGGAAGAAGTTGCTAGGGCTATGTCGCGGGTGATGGCTGGGCAGGGTGGAATTGATTTGGCTCAATTGGGGGTCAATGCCAATGATTTTGTGCGAAACGTTACAGAGGGTTTAGAATGAATTTGTGTATCTCTTAATATACATCATACATGTGTACGTACCCTATCTATTATTATCCCATTTCTCATTCCCACGCCAAGACATAGAACTGGCAAAGAGTGTAAATAGACCGGAAATGGTAGGCTGTTGATATCAAAACCCTTATATACAGAATCCAACCAAAAAAAAGGAAATAAATCTCAAGCCAAGATCTTAATTAGTGCATACGCATACACCTCCAGGGTCCATCTCGTCATTCAACATTAAACGAGGCGGTGAGTGGAGCGATGATCGTCGTGAAGAGATGAAACGAAGGTTGAACCACGTTCCCCCTCTATTCCCTCCTTTTCTCCTACAAATCATTCTCTTGCACTTTCACGTTGTTGCTTTTCACGTTCCTGGTTGAACGAGTCAAGTTAGAAAGTAAATAAGGCTCAGATGAGGCAGGTCCCACATCCATCTCGGCATTGATCATTTGGCTCGATTGTTCTCGACTCTCCCGACTCCCGACTCCCGACTCCCGCTCCTATCCCACGGCCCTTCGTGGAATTTCGAATATCCTCTACACTATTGGTGCTCTCCCCACCATGACAGACACAGCTGTGCCATCGCAGCCACTGCCAGAGCTGAAGGGGCGCAATGTCTACGTTTCCTCTCCCAGTGGATTACGACCGGCCAAGGAGACCACGTTCCGTGAATGGGTGGTTGCCAACCAGATCGGTATGAAGAAACACCTTAATCCTTGGGTTCACATGGAGATGAAGGCACAGCAAGCTGCCTCACAGAGTTGCTGCGCTCCCAAATAAACCCCGGGCATATGCGAAATCCCACATCCTGAGAATACTTGTACCACTAACACCAGTTGCTTCTCTACAGGAATCTCCTTGACCACCCTGGCTATGCTGCTAGCTTTTCATAACCTCTACCCCTCGCTCCGCCCATATACCCAGCCGTTCTTCCAATTGTCCTATTATAACGAATCCTCAAACTCCTACGTCCAGGGCTGGAACGATGTCTACTTCGTAATCAGTGCTGCTATCGCACTCACCGGCATCCGTGCCATCGCCATCGAATGGTTCCTGCAACCATTAGCCCGTGCATGTGGTTTAAAGCGCAAACAGTCGCTTCGCCTCGCTGAGCAAGGTTGGCAAGCTATGTACTATTCGTTCATCTGGGGACTCGGATTGGTGTGTTTGGCCTACATACATCTGCCTGGGAACATATGACTAACCGCTGGTTCTACGTTGCAGTATCTCTGGAAGACGTCATACTACTGGGGGGATTTCGCCGCTATGTGGTCGCAGTGGCCCGCCCGTCCTTTGTCGGGCTTGATGAAGTGGTATCTTCTCGTTGAGCTGGCATTCCTCGTGCAGCAGATCTTCGTGATCCACGTGGAAGAGAGACGGAAGGACCATGTCCAGATGCTTTCCCACCACATTATTACCAGTGCTCTCCTGAGCTCTGCCTACATCTACGCTATGTACAATGTGTCCAATGTAGTGCTATGTCTCATGGATATTGTGGACTTCTTGTTACCGGTTCGTCAATTACTATTGATCAAGTGTCCCTAAATAGCTACTAATATCCCCACAGTCTGCGAAGATCCTCAAATACTCCAAGTTCGAAACAGCCTGCAACATTGGCTTCGGCCTCTTCATGGGCACATGGTTCATTACCCGACACATCATCTACCCCATGGTGTGCTGGTCCGTTTATTATGATCTCCCCCGCGAACTCACGTATGGCTGCTACACCGGTTCGACAAGCGAGTTCATCTCAGCGGAAGCCCCAAATGCCTTCGCGTACATGCTTGGTCCATACTTCAGTTTGGACAACCCCATCTGCTTCAACCCCACTCTCAAATGGATGTTCTTATCCCTCCTGTTGTTCCTCGAGGTACTGTCCATTGTATGGTTCAGCATGATTGTTCGTGTTGCTTACGGTGTCGTTTGTGGCGGTAACGCCGAAGACACCCGCAGTGACGAGGAAGACGAAGCGGAAGTGGACGGCCAGACCACATCTCACGTTCCAGCGCACTTGGCTGCTAAGGATGGTGCTCCTACCGAACCACTAGAAACTGGAAACGCCCCGGGCTTGGATCGTCGGCGGTCCAATGGCACTGCCTCGGTGCGCGCGCGGGGTCGTGGTCGTGTTCCTTTCGATCCGAGTGATCGGAAAGCTCTCTTGGGTCGCATTGGATGTGAAAAGCCTACATAAACGCCCGCTTTTCATTTAACATTTTCTTTTGACCAAATTTGATGACTCCCATTTCGAGTTGCTCCCTAGCATGACATGCCTCTGTCCACATATCCCACGCCGTAATATCCATTCTCCGGTTGTCGGTGTTGGATAGTCTGCGCTGACTATGCAATGGAGTTCCCGAATTACGATGAACTGCGATTCCAACGTTTGTTTGCGGCACATCCTTTTTCAGTCTGCTTGCCGGGTCTTATATCCACTTTATTTTTGTTTCTTTCTTTTCTTCATATTCATACTCATTGTTGTGTCGCCACTTGCCGGCTGGCGTCGGGGAGGTTTCCTGCTATGCTTTTTGTTGCCGTGATGATCTCTACGGACTTGGAGTTTCGTTCTAGAGATCCACACAATAATACCCAATGGAAGCATTTGGCCTTGTACATGTATCATAGAGCCCTGTCCGGTATGGACTTACAGATTTCCCATAGGGCGAATACGGAATATAGCCTTGCCTTCAGCAACCTTAAATCCGTAGCCCATCACTTTCACCCGACCCAACATCCCGCATAGACCAATGTCGCCTAGGGATGAACATAATCCCTAAGCGGCGGCTCCTCACTCTCATTATATCCATATAACAACACATCAAGCACCCCAACCACATTCGACACAGCCTCCATCCCCAAAAAATCATCCATATCCAAACCAGGCGCAAGCGACTCCCCACAAACAGCATCAAGATCAATCCTCTCCAACTTCCCAGGCCCATCATGAACCAAAGCATCAACAAACAAAGCATACGCCAACGGGTTAACCAACATAGCCGAATGCGAATAAGAACCCCCGGCAGCACCCCTGGCACAAGCAACCTGCACCTGCACATTCGACACTCCAACCCCACGCACATCCCCCAGTGCCGCAGAAGCCCACTCCCCACTCTGCGGCTGAACAATAAAGTCATTCCCAGAGTACACGCTCGTCGTCGGTACGAACGCCGAATCCCCACCCTCACCACGCAGAGCCCGAATAAACCTGGTATCATACGCCTGCTGCTGAACAGCCGGCGAACAAAACGGCTTGGCAAACACGCACAGAGCCGCAAGAAGCGTCCCGTGGAAATCACCACTCACAGCCATGAAATCGCTTACCGCGGCTCGTGTCGACGGCCAGTATTTCAGCGCCCACTGCACGTCTATGCTACCTTGTGACCAGGTTAGGACCCCGATCGGACGCTGTGAGAGTGCTGATATGTAGTTTATCGCATATGCGACGTACTCGGCGTTGCTTTGGATGTCACCCAGCGAGTTTTCCGGGATGTTGACCCATACTGGGTCTGTGTGTGGGTTTGCTGTAAAGAGCTTCGCGTAGCTGAAGTAGTAGGTGCTGCCGGCTGGGTCGGCGGTCCCTGGGACCAGGAGGACGGGGATTTTGTTGTTTTCGCCGAAGGAAAAGGTTGGGGGAATGTAAATTGCGCTGCGGAGTGTCGCTTCGGGGATGTCGTAGGGTGCGTCCCCGAACGATCTTGTTGGATGAATCTGTGGAGTCGGGTTCTTTGTGTTGTTGTTGGCTACGGAGTTTATTTCATGGTTCGTTATGCCGTTGAGAATGTCGGTGATGCTTGATGGGACTAGACCTAGTGATACTATGTCGATGGCGTTTTGAAGGCTCGTTCGGTTGTTGTGTGGAATTGAGGAAAGGAGTGAGAGCCCTTCTTCGATGGTTGAAACTGGCTTGATTTTTCCTGTTGTGATATCTGATATCTTGGCTTCGAGCTGAGATAGCTCTTGATATATGTCCGTGCTGAAGGGAGCACGACTGGTGGATGTGTTGAATAGCTTACTAAAGATGTTATGAGAAGGCACTGGACTACCAAGTGATGTTGTTACAAAGAAAATAAACCGGAACACTTGGTCGCAGCGCATTGTGATGCTTTGCTTCTTGATTAGGGCTGACGATCTACCCGTAGAGTTTGACCTGGTAAATGCTGACTTTTTATACAGAGAAATATATCCTATCGGAGCTCAATCAACATCCCTTTCGTACCGTATTTGATGGCTTATTAGATCTGAGTTTTTGATTTTGGCCAGAGACATGTGTCCGCACTCCCTCATATTTCGGAACACGCAAAAGCACCGTCAATACGTTGAACCCCTCTAAAGCATCGGCGCTATTTCATGCTTCTCATTACCGGTAGTTCCCATAAAGTCCGAGCACCGGAGTTTCTTCTGTGTCTGTATATCCCGAGATGTATCTAAATCAGCCCGGGAAGGGTCTGCTGCAACCTCATTCCAGAGAATAAGATAGACAGTCAACACACCAACTGCCCGAACCACGCTTAAGACGGAAGGAATCAAGGCCGAGAAGGACTCATATTCACCGCAGGCCATCTTACAGCGGGGTTCGTTTCTGATCTATCATCTTGATTATATGAGGAATGGCCTGGCCGCAGCTTTCGATCGTCCGTATTATCGCGCTGCGCTAGATGACTGCATCACGTCTTTTGATAATTTGACGAGTCAGAACATGTAGTTGTACGTCGGATTGAAACCGATTAGCATGAGAGTGTAGACACCTTCCTTGAGCCCATTGTCTGTCCAGTCGGATACTGCCCTCGTAGTTTGGCTTCAGTACGCATTGGTTGCGAGTAAGTGATTTGGTTATAAAGGCGCCAAGGTTTTTTAACCCCAAACAAAACTATCAAAGTTAATTTACAATTCTAGATACAGATCAAGTGCTTCCTTTGCCGTAGTGAAGCGTCCCCTCCAGCAATTTCGTATAATATCTCCATGTCGAACCTCATGGCAAAAACACTAGAAGCCTCTAGATTAGAAGCTCAAAATCAAGAGGTAGGCACTGTCACACTTTCTCGTAACCCAGCGGTAGGGATCTAAGCGCAAATCAAGGTTAGCATTGTGGGTGAAAGGGTCCGAACTCTATACCATAGAAAGTATAGCTTCATGCCTGTGAGCGCTAATAGCGTTAGAGGCGGAATCAGAAATAAATATTTTGCATTTACTCAGGGAGAAATATACAAATAAACTTGTGCGCTGACTCCGTAAGAACTAGATTCGGTACCCCGAATTTGGACATGACACGCCAGCCATACGAAGCCACTTAGTCATATGGCCCCAAAGCAGGGAGAAAATCTCGCTTGATCGGGGCTGGGTTTGCACCAAGCATGCATGAGCAGGAATGGGACTTAGCTATCTCGATGGATCGTCGTATGGGTGATCCAGTCGTCGGTATTGGTAAGCTTGGCCGTGAATAAGTAGTCGACCATCTATGGGAGACTAGATGAAAACAGAAGAGGAAAGGGCAGGATTTATCCTATTTGTAATAATCTAGGTATGTCTATTATGCTAACTGCCCTGCCTGCCTCTTGAGTCTAAACTAGGTCTATCGTAGAGCCCCTCTAAACCTGACCGAGCTATCGCAGAAACAAAAAACCAATTTTCTTGTTAAATCCGGCAATTTAATACACTATAATCTTTACATATCGTACGTTATATATGTAGATGATAAATATAGAAGTTCAAAGTTGTACATGGACACTAGAGGGCTGTTGTTGAAGGCTAAGAGTCTAAGTGGAAAACCTGGACTAGCTTTAGTTTATTCAATGCAATATGACGGAACCACTGAATTTAAAATCCTTAATCAATGTAGGCATATCAATCCTCCAGGACCATGCAGGCGACTACCATAGACGCGAACATGCCTCCTACGGGGGTATATAGATCCCGAGGTCTATTTCCAAGATCCCGGCCTCGAGCTTCCAACTCGCAGCTTTTGTCCCAAGGTCGTGTAAATCAACCGCCGATTGTACCAAGATATTCCTGCAACTCAGGTCCGGGTCGTAAGGAGTAAGGAGCTTCTTCTAAAGGTTGAATCTCATGGATGGTTGATGCTAGCATAGTATATTTGTGGAAATTGATGAGCCCTTCCGGTGTCATGGCTGGGTTCCCGTTTTCGATGAATGTCAAACCCTTCAAAAACAGCCCTGTTGAATGGTTAATAGCTGGCAATCTCAATGGTTAACGAGTGAACTGACCAAGAAAAGGGACGCACGGTGGGCATTTTGATTAGCCGCGCATGCCACGGACCCACTTTTACCCGCATTTGTCCAGCATCGGAGAGCTTTGAGTTATCTGATCCGAAACTTACAGCGAACCTTTGGAAGCTTTAAGTTTATTGGAGAGGATCCGAATCTTACTCACATTGCCAACCGTCGAACAAAACATTCTCCCGTGCCTCCATTTTGAACCAGCGTTCCAGCCTGTCTTTAAAAAGCCACGTGCGGATCTGCTCCTCGTCTGGGAAGCGGTGTTGTAAGCTATATGTAGATTGGGCCCGTCTAGCAGAATACGAAAAGGCAAAATAACGTATGTGTGGACACCTCAAATTATTGACCTTACATTTTTATCCAAAATTTCCCCCCGGGCGTCTACGTGAAGCTCCCGACTTCAGGTCCGGAGGTCCCAGGTGGAATAGTATAAGTATGACAAACCCGCGATTGGTTTCTGGAAAAGAACAAAACCACCGGTAACAGAAGTCATAAAAGTATGGGTGGTTAGACTTCTGATTCAAATAAGGCGTGCCCTGCGACTAACGCCGCATATCGGTCCATCTGGCAATCCTCAGATATATATCAGCATTCATATCGATATATGAGAGTTTAAAATCCAAAGGATTCCTACAGGTGCGCACAAGATGTACTTTGTCCAACTTTAGGGATGGAGGTGAGGTCGTAGAGAGAGTATTCTGAGGCACAGAAGGAAGTGCCACTACGCGGTCGATTGGATAGATTGCTTAAGTGAACGGCAAGACGGCGTCGATTCAGGCGCATACGAGATTCCCGGTAGAGGCAAGTGGGATGGGCTGAGAAAGATAAAAGAAAATGTGATGGAGGAGCATATTCATAGAAAAGGCAGTTTGGGGCCCTACGACAGTCTAGAGAACTCTAGAGCAAAATGCTTTCCACAGTTCGCAAAACCAAACAAGCTCGCGCTCTACCAAGTGTATATCGCGATGCTTGCAGTACCCTACAACATTTTCACAGTGTACTGGACCGTGCTATATTAGGAGGAAGTGTAGAATGAGCAAGGATTTGATGCGTAATTGAAATTGGATCGATACTGCCTCGGGGTACTCGGTCAATTCTGAGAGCTAAGCAGCTCATGAATGAATTCTGCGATATCGAGCGCTGAGCACGAGTGTGGTCGTAATCACTTCGCAACTGGAGGCGCTGAGCCATCAATTCATCGAAAAGGGCCTCCATTTGTTCGATTTTCCAGTTTAAATAGCGACGCTGTTGGTCGCTAACAACCAGTAAAAGTCGGAGTTCGCTTTGGGTGGCATGTATGGCATTCCTGGTAGCCGAAAGGTCATTTGGAGACGAGCTTTACGTAAAGTCAAAATCGTGTCTCGTGCGATCAACTCGAAATGCTGGTCTTCCTAGAAATTAAGGCCGTGCGGAAGGCGTACCGAGACCCATTATCTGCATCAATTGGCAATCTGTCCTGCAGTACTTTTAGCCGGATCCAGTTGATGATCATGGATATACTAAATATACCCAGAGTTTCCCGAATATTATCCTCATCTCTAAGTCGCTCGGAAAGCTCAAAATTTGGCTCAAGCAAGTGCTCGTTGACCCCGAACGTTTTATCTCCCCGACGACTAGCGATCTGTGGCCCTGGTCTATGATCGTGAAGTCGGCGACGATGGCGTGTCTAGTCGATGCATTCTGCGGCGAAGCAAAGACAAAGTCGAGCCCCTGGTGCTTAGCGACCTGGCTCACTACCTGGCCTACTTGATCCACGAACCGGAGAAAATTCTCATTGCCGATTTGGACGAAGTCATCTCAGGTAAAGTTCGACATGCGAGCCCCCACAACCATCATCGCGCGAACCGTGGAAAACTACTGTCATGCTGATTTCAGTTATGAGTGGGTTGTCTTCCGTCCCTACACAGAGATACTTGAAGGAAATAGTATCCACAGCTTGTACTAGCGACTGAGGCGCTTCTAACCAGCCGTGTGCGTCAACCGACAGGTGAGAGGCAGGTTCGGAGGTGCCGAGCCAGTGTTCCCAGGAATAGGGGATTGTGTCACATTATCCCATCGCTGCTGGTTGAAGGTCCGCCATACGTCAACTTCGAACGCGGATCAAGGACGCATTATCCCAACGAATTTGAGAGCATGCAGGACCGAGCTTTTGGTGTGTGAGAAGCCAGGGTTAAGCGTCGGGAGGGGCCAGATATGAATTAGCATTCATGTTGAAGAGCGATACGCGAGAGTTATCCAAATGACTTCTGCCGGGACCTACCACATTTGGTTCATCCATCCTGGGGGATGAAGTTCGGATTGGGAATGCTAGTGAGAGGTGTATGGCTCAGATGGACGAAGGTAAAATTAAGACCTTGTCGATTGAAATTGAGTGCGATGTTGGTTAAAAAAAGAGAAAAGGAAAGAAGTGATTGGATGTGAAAGTGCCAGAAATGAGTTGGGAAAGGGAGAACAGATGATGGGAGAAGCTAATTTATAGGGAAGCTATACCCGAAGTCCTAGAAAGGTCAGCAACTTCCAGTGCATTGATAATTATGACTTTACATTTGCCACAAGTTGCAAGCGATGTCGTCTTGTATAGTAGCAATTCCATTTGAGCAGATACAGTTCAAGACCATTCTGAACGCTTCAGTTCTCGGGCCACATTTTCTACCGATCTTCGAGGCAGTTTATATAGGGTTGTGAACCAGGATCTTGGCGGGCGCAAAGAATTTAAGATCGGTCATGCTCTCCGAAGGTCAGAAGCCAAATATATATTGCTGTAGACTGCCATGGGTACGCAAAAGCGAAAGAGAAGGGCCCCAATGGGCAGCTGGGCGTATGGCGTGAGTTTGAACAAGCCGTCGGTTGTAAGGGCTCTATTGGACTTCTTCGCACTTAGCAAGAGAATACTCCGTCATGTTGCAGTACTTGCCTTTGCGGCTCCCCCCGAACAGGTTGCTTTTCACTGGCGCTGCTCGTGGCTGCGTGATACCCCCTGTCCTTCAACCAACAGAGGAATCCAAATTTCTCGGACGATTGTATCCGACACAACCACATTTGTTTGAGCCACTTGAAGTCGGCCTCGCGAGGGCCAACCTTGGAAGAGTGCATGGTGCTTGACTAACTCAGCGTGTACGGCGAAATGACCTCTCACGTCGCTCAGATTCTGTTGAACGTGCTCATCTGTCAGAGCCGTTGCAATGAAGTCATGACGAGAAATCCTGTTTCGAGACATCCCGGTTAGAAGCCATTGTGGCGATGAAGGGAGAGGATGAACGGTACGAAGGTACGGAATAGGCGCGTAAAGATCGAAAAGAAGAGAAAGATGAAACAGGCACAAGCAAAGAGAGGAAAAAAAAAAAGAGCGAGTGTCACCGTGGAAGTATGATGTAGGTAATGGTTACTGCATAATGTGACTCCAATGATGATGGATAGAGGAGAAACGATGGATTCCACCAAATAGCCAGTATATGTACTATTTAAGAGCCTAGCTTTATAAACCAGGCCAACATGCAGACAATCAAAGCCACATACATATCTCAACAAAGGTCGTACCTCAAAGGAATCTGTTGGGTTATACGCAACACATCCACTATCACTATGGTGATTCGATTGTTCGAACCACTTTCATTATGAAAATTTCGACGCCAAAGAGTTTTCAGGAAGAAACTACCCAAAGAAGTCGTAGTTGGATTAGCAATTGTACTACAGTACTCTTTACTACCGACTTCTCTATTGTCTCCCGAAAGATGGGATATTCAGCGCTGAACTACCCTGCTCCATAAATGTAGGCCGTATATGAGGGACTAGCATTACTTGAAGGGAATGGATGTAATATTATGTACTAGAGATTGGAGAATGCTAAAGTCCAGTTGCCCTACAAGTGCGAACTCTCTAGGTCAAATCGACCAATATCCATTCGGACGAATACCACGATCAAAAGTCAAGGGGAACGCATTCGTACACCATCCGACAAGCATTGTCAGTCAGACCGCGCTCATTTCGAGAAATCCGCAGAAAGACTTGATCAGGGCCCCGGTTCCACTTCGCGATATCTGCCTCTGTGGTTCCAGGTGGAAACCCATCCATTGGCCGAAAAGCAGAAATGGGTCCAATACGCACCTCTTCTGGGATAAACAGTGCTGTTGATATTCTCGGTCCCGTATCAGCATGAGCTGAATATGAGCTTGCGGCAAGTTCGGAACTGGGAATCGGTCCGTCTGTTGATTCCAGTGAACCGGAATTGAACGTATGATGGACTGCATTCATCGCCATTGCATGTGATTCTTCCAGCTCCATGACCGTTTGGCCCACGGCTGCCCATATAGAGCACTGATAAAACCCTTGAACCGAGGGCGCTTGACGGAGTAGAGCCAGTGCCGCGCGTCGGGTACGCGGCTCACGGCATCGAAGGCTGGTGAACCAAAGCGGAAGACAAATATTGATGTCAAACGTGAATGGTGGTTGGGTGCCATCGGATCGCACCGAGGCTTTGGGTGCAATGGCAGATTGTTCAACAATATTTTGGAAGTTTGGTAGATAGGCGTCGAATTGCATCAACGACAATGACGTGCAGGTCTCGAGCATGACATATAGCATTTCATGATAACTCAACAGAAGGGCACTGGTACCAATCTCTTGCAACGATAAAAGGCTTTTGGCGCGAAGGACTGTCATCAACTTATCAAAGGCAGTATGCCAGTTCCTCAGTCTGGTAGACAGACCGAATAGTCTAGTATTGAATTCTTCAGGCAGATGAGAGACGTGAGCCTGGAGTGAGTGCTTGATGCAAGCGCTTTCAAAGAGCGGGATCTCTATAGCTAAGAGCACGATCGCTTCCCGGGCAGACTTGAGTGAGTTGAACTGACCCGTCAAGGCATGTCCACTGTCTCGTAGTAAAGCGGTCACAGGAGCCCCACCAATGGCGAGAGCGAATGTTCCCAATCGGATGAAGATAGGGATAATAGTATCCTCCAACAATGAAGTTTTACTCGCAGCCCCAGATGCTATTCGGGAACGCAAAGCGATAATGAGCTGCACGCCTTGACGATAAAGCTGCACTGCGCCATCTGCATTTCCCTCGATAGCCTCAATACAGATGAAAAGCACACAAGTGATCAATCCGACAAAGACGTCTACGCTACCCTGCTCGATGCGCTGGCGAACAGCAGATACCGAGCGCGAATACCAGCCCAAAGCGTCTTGACGATTTTTGGTGAGAGAAACATGAGTATCATGGCGGTGTATCACCGAATCTGGGCACTGTTGTGGGCACTCAAATAGCGCACTAATGGTGATGATGGCATCCCAAACAGCAGGTTCATAGCGGCAAACCTGTGGGACGATAGTGCGCCAGAAATCAACATCCAACCTACCACCGATCGAGGAGGAAGCACACTCAAGATAATAGGCAAATGCACGTCGCTCTCGCCACACTGTATTGGTGTTTGGTGATAATGATAAGGGGTTGGCGATGACCGAGATTGTGGAAGAGGGCCGTACTTCTTCAAAGTCACACTTGCGACCTGTACTGGTACATCGGACACAGCTAGGCTTTTCTTCCCCACACTTGACTCGTCGAACTCTACGACACGCTCGATATCAAACTCTGTCTATGGGAAAGGAGGCAACCTTGGAATCACCTACTTGCAAGTTTTGCATCCTAGCCTTGACCTCAGGAGGACCCTTGAGCGACGCTTTGAATGGTCCGGGTGAATAGACATGGTGATGGCATTCTATATTTGGCTCGTGCCCAGATGCCTCAGCGCCGAGAGCGCATAATCATCAAGTGGTGGATGAAGCCTCCAGGGCTACGACCTCTTCGACGTACCTGATGAGTAAGCATCTGGTTAGTCAGCTATTGTATTGGCCCCAGGGCAGGGCTTGAAGGCTGGAATCCAACTGGCTAATAATTTTGCTACTTGGATATCACCTAGATCCGAGGGAACACGACAGCAGAAATGTCTAGCAAAACTCAAGAGCATCCAAGAGCCCAGCGTAACCAAGCTCTTGGGAAGGAGAGGGCGGAAGTTTATAACGGGAGGGGAACATGGTATATGAAGAAGGATGATCGGAATGTAGCAGTAACAACAGATGGATTCGAAATCAATGGTACTATCAATACAGGGAAAGACAATGGAACAGAAAGAGAGTTTAATCTAAGAGAAGTAAACAGTTCCCGCGACCGGAAGGCAGCGAGGCCGCAAACAATAAGGAAACCTATGAGAAGATCCTAGCCTGACCCCAAAAAGCATTTTCATAATACTGGGATGTGCCATAGTTATATGTTTGACAAGTGAGGCGGCAAAGGTGAGCTCTTGGGCATTGGAAAAGGATCATGCCCAGCCACACTAGGAGGGTCGGTTCCCGGAAGCTTGTGGAGATGCGACATATACACCTAGCTGGGGATGTGTGGGAGTGGGTGGCTCCCATGAGCTAGGTCGATGTCTCGGACATAGGCAACTTATCATGACCATGAGGTCGCGCACCTCGTTCAAACTGTGACAGTTATGCACAGGAAAGTCATTGCGTCCTCGCGCCCCACCGGCCTGGGGACGATGTTCCTTTCCAAGTAAAGGGTGCCCTACTCAGCAGTCAGGTAGGTGACAATAAGGCCCATCTCTATAAGTTGAAGGCTCAAAAGTAGATATAGTGAAGACAAGTCAGATCGGCTCTCAACCAGCATTGTCTCTAAGCCGGGCAAGGGCCACTGCAATACCTTCGCTCATCTCTTCAGTTTGGTGACCCCCAGCCTGAGGCTCAGTAGGGGACGCAGCTTGCACAGCTTGCGCAGCTGCTGTTTTTCTGCTTTCGGCTAGAACTTCATGAAGAATCGCCTCTTCTTCATCCTCTTCGCCCATATTCTGATCATGTATGTCCTCCACATTCACGCCTGGCAGTTGAGCCCGGCGTTGTGTGGCAGGAACAGAAGCCCTCTTCGTGCTCTCGACTCTAAAGTCTTCCCGGACCGCATGGCACCATTGTTGGACCTTCTTCTCTCCCCATCCCGGCACAGCGCTGATCTGCTCGGGCTGTGCATTGATGGCATTTTGCAAGCTGCCGAAGGTGGAGATCAAACTCGCGGCGTCGGACTTGTTGATACTTCTGGGAACCGTGACAAACTCAACCAGTGACTCCTTATAGGATTGGGCCTGTTGGGCTCGAATGGCGGTGGGCTGTGCGTTCTCTGAGGACTTGTAGAGCTCGAGATAGTGCGCAGCCTCTGGTGCAGACCAACACAATATCAATGTCAGATCGTTGATAACGGATGTTTTGGACAGCTCTCGGAGAATGTCTTCATGGTTTTGTATGTCGACCATCACCAGTACAAGGCGGAGGTTGTATTTGCCTGCTAGTTGTTTCACTCGGGAGTAGATGTATTCGGGGTGTAGGCGATGGTATTTCAAGGAGAGAAACATTGCGCACGTCGTGGTGCCAACCACGTAGTCCGCGGGGATGTCGGCATACTCCCACGGTAGAAGCTTTATATGGGTCAGTATTGGGTTGCCCTTTTGTCGCGTGGATACCAAGATCGCGGAAGTACCAGCGCGGTTGCCGAGGGTTTGGGGTTTCGGCTGTTGGACTTTCGGTCTTGAAGATGCACCTGGAGCTGGGTAGTTTGAAGGGCGGCGGGAATCCATCTCGCCCACCAATGTGCGATTGCTAGAAGCAGAGCGATCAATGGAGAGTTGATAAGTCGATAAAGCTACCTAGGTACTAGTCATGGCTTATCTGGATGGGACCCACACCGCCCGGGCCAATCTGCCTCAGTTTTCTGCCGCTAATTTTTTTGTTCTTCCTCGACCGCAGAAAAAAGAACGGCAGTCGCAACAAAGCCACCATGGATGAATTACACAAAGGACGACGTCTCTCCGACGCCGAGAACCTCGAAATCAAAGCCGAGACCACTACACCCGCCGCCGAGGCCTCGGCCGCACAGAACAAGAGAACTCTTTTCGTCCGCTCGCTACCCACCTCAGCCACGACAGAGAGCCTCGCAGAATATTTCTCGCAATCATACATTATCAAGCATGCTGTTGTTGTCAGCGACAAAGAGACAAAAGTATCCAAGGGGTTCGGTTTTGTTACATTCGCCGACGTCGAGGATGCGGAGAGCGCTCTGAAAGAACTCAACGGGTCCAAGTTTGACGGGAAAATCATTCGTGTTGACTATGCCGAGTCTCGTAAGCGTGAGATCGACGAAAAGGTTGGACGCAGTGTCCCCACTGCTGCGTCCCGGGAGTCCAAGAAGCAGAAGGAAGAGGAGAGAGGGCAAGGCCTGCCACCCAAGCTGATTGTTCGCAACCTGCCGTGGAGTATTAAGGAGCCTGAGGATCTGAATGTCCTGTTCCGCAGCTTTGGAAAAGTCAAGTTTGCTACCCTTCCCAAGAGGAATGGCAAACTTTCTGGTTTCGGTTTCATTACCATGCGTGGCAGGAAGAACGCCGAAAAAGCGCTCCAGATGATCAACGGAAAGGAGATCGATGGACGTCAACTCGCCGTCGATTGGGCTGTTGAGAAAGACGTTTGGGAAACTACCAAGAAGGAAGACGAGGACGAGGAGGAGGAGCAGAAGGAAGAGAAGGAGTCTGATGATGTTGAGATGGAAGATGCGGAGGGTGCTCTGGAAGAGCCCTCAGACGACGAAACCTCTTCCGACGAGGACGACGACGAGGACGACGACGAGGACGACGACGAGGACGACGACCTAGATGAGCTGGACGACTTGGACGATGACGAGGCAGACGAGGAGGATGAGCGAAATGCCACTACAATCTTCATTCGCAACCTCCCCTTCACCGCCACAGACCAAGTCCTCTACGATCACTTCAAGACTCACTTCGGACCACTACGGTACGCACGTGTGGTCCTGGACTACGAGACTGAGCGCCCTCGGGGCACTGGATTCGTCTGCTTCTGGAAGCCCGACGACGCTAACACATGCATTCGTGAAGCCCCCCGAGGAGCTGAAGCAATGGCTCCGAACAAGGATAAGCCTAAGTCAAACGCAGCTATTAAGCATTCCGTCCTCCAAGATGAAAACTCTGACCCAAGCGGCCGCTACACGCTGGAAGGCCGCGTCCTGCAGGTCGCACGCGCCGTGAGCAAGGGCCAAGCTGCCAAGCTGGAAGAGGAGGGAGTATCACGCCGTATGGTCCGCGACACAGACAAGCGCCGCCTGTACCTTCTCAGCGAGGGTACGATCCCCTCCAACTCCCCGCTGTACAAGAAGCTCTCTCCCTCCGAAGTCAAGATGCGCGAGGACAGCTACAAGCAGCGCGAGACCTTCATTAAGAAAAACCCAGCTCTCCACCTCAGTCTCACTCGTCTCGCCATTCGTAACCTCCCCCGCCACATCAACTCCAAGGACTTAAAGCAGCTTGCCCGAGAGTCCGTCGTCAACTTCGCCAAGGATGTCAAGGCGGGAACCCGCCAACCGCTCTCAAAGGAGGAGCAGCAGCGATCCCGCGATACGATGAAGGAGCTAGAGCAGCTGCGCAAACAGAAGAAGATGGGTATTGTGCGCCAGGCCAAGGTCGTTTTCGAGACTCGCGAAGGTACCAAGGTCTCCGAGAAATCCGGTGGTGGTCGCAGTCGTGGCTACGGATTCATCGAGTTCTTCACTCACCGTCACGCGCTTATGAGTTTGCGCTGGCTGAACTGCCACTCCATGGCAGTTCCTCCTTCTGCCCAAGATCCCGATGACCGAGACAAGAAGAAGAGCCTCGTTGTTGAGTTTGCCATTGAGAATGCCCAGGTCGTTAAGCGCCGTAATGAGCTGCAAGCTAAGTCCCGCGAACCCAGGCCCAAGCGCTCGGATGATGCTGAGGGTGAGGGAGACAGAGGTCAGAAGAGGAAGCGCTCTGATACTCGTGGTGGCAAAGCAAAGGATGGAAGAGATGCACGAGATGGCCGAGATGGAAGGGATGCGAAGCGTGGCAAGACTGGAAATGGGAAGGGGCCCAAAGATGGGAAGAGTGAAGAGGAGGACAAGGCTGCCAAGCGCAACCGCATTATCGGACAGAAGCGCATGAAGCGGAAGTCCCGCAAGGGGAATTAAAGGCGTGAATGTTGCATGTTACTTTTTAATGTATAGGCATTATTTATCCCAGCAGTCAGAGGGAAGAACTGTTCTTTGTACCTGTACCTACGCGATACCACCATTTCGAAAATGAAAAGCATGGATTTGATATTTAATACTGGATTGTTGATCCATTTCTCATTGGGTATATAAAGGCGCACATTCGAACCAGGTGAAGACTGCTGCTCCATGATAATGTAGCCCTCAAGTGTTCTTGGCGCCTTCAACCTTGCCGACAACGTTATACCGCTTGCTGAAGAAAGTGTACCACTCATCCAAGACGGTCTTTTCCTTGTCCGGCAGATCATACCACTCTGGTACACAGTCTTCGGGCTTGAGAGAGGATGAAGCAAGAGCACGGGAAGCGTCCTTGCCGGCGAAGACTAGGAGAAAAGAAGAAGTCAGTATTGTCGTTCATTATACTGTTCACAAAAAAAGATGCGGTACTCACCCCGATATGAACCCGAGGCACCATAAGCCGAATTCCGGGTCACATCAAAGACGACACCCTTAATGGCGACCAGAGTTGGGCGGTTAGGGTCGGTGCCTGCAGTACAGTAGATATTAGCGATGGTCTTTGAGCTGGGCGCGTTGGAAATAAGGAATTGGCGGGGTGGTGAGATGTGAAGGGTAAAGTCTCGTACCGTCGCATTTGGCCAATTCCTCGACAGAAATGGGGTCGTCCTTAGGCGGGTCGAGCTGGACTGCCACTTTGGGTTCGAAGCGCTTAGATTCTCCTGCTTGTTCGGCCATTGTGATTGTTATGAGGTGAAGATTGAGGGGGGAAAAACATCTTGGTGTTTGGCGGGGCTTACCGAGGTAGCCCGAGCTTCAGGCTGCTTATTGTCTGATGGACTGGTTAATCTACTTAGGCGCTTCATTCTAACTTTGTGTAGAACGTATACTGATTTGTAATATTCAAATTTCTCTTCGATACATTTTAGGTAGGGTTATGCGGTTAACCTTTGTAAATACTTCCATATGATGGTCCCTCGGCCCCCGAACAATATATCCTCCCTAGATTTAACCCAATCGTAGGATATGCACTGGTAATGAGACCGTGATCGACTGCTTATTTGGGCAGATTGATACTTGTGTACAGAGAGCTTCTCTCTTTTTGCCTCAATCTGGTTAGCACTATAGAGTAGATACATTGTATGAGTGCTGATATGAGGAATTACCTCGGTCTCATGACGTCAGGATATAGACCGAGAGGTGCACCTGACCTTACTGTGTAGAGTTCTACAACGTCAACTGCTCAGGTGTTACGGAGTACATTGCTTTCTTTGACACTCCAGTGATACAGTAGAATACTGTTATTCGACATGTTCCCCGACACGCATCCACATCCAAGTTCTACCGAACATCTCCATGAGGACCCGGATCAACGCCGGAACTCCACAGACTCTGATGTGATCCATCACCTCTATTTCGAAGACAATGACGGCTTCTTCCCACCAAGTTGGATTGGAAAAGATTCGCAGCAGAGACCCTCCACCGGAAACTCGGGGGGCAACAACTCCAAGGGCACTAGGGACACTAGCACTAGTGCCCACAAGGAAAGAACATGAACATACTGGAATGTGGCGTGTGTTGATCACCGAGATGCATGTTCAATACAACGCTAGCTGTACTTAGTATATTCAGACAGTCAGACTTGTGGCTTGAGTTACTCTCGCGATGCCTTGGTGTGCTGGAAAACCTCCATTCTCCATGGACCGAGGCAATAATTTCTCCACACGGGATGGCTGCGGGGACTTCGATATTATAATTGCCTAAACACCCAGAAAATACATTTGTCAACACTTTCTGACATCGCCAGTTGTATCGTCTGATGACTGCAAACAATACCCTCTTGATTGAGAGGCTCCTATGCAGATCGAAGTATTCAATCCAATGGGCGCACAGCGTTGATCAGCCTCAATCCCCCCTCCTCCCTTCCTAGGAGGGGCCATGTGGGGATAAAATGGATGAACATCAGACACTTGGGCCATCTCTCTGGTTTTCTGATTTGTCCCTCGGACTCTTCGTTTCGGCCTACGCCGATTGCCTTTCCAGAAGATTTTAACAATTCCCACTAACGCGAAACAGGAAAATACTACCCTGCTAAGGAAAAAAGAAAAAAAAAAATCTCTCATTCCTGTCGGCTTTCTCTTCTCTGCATTTCTTTTTCCTTTAAAGAAAGAAAAAAGATCTCGATCTGGACCCCTTTGCGCACTTGCTCATGCTATTGCTTCGCTCTTTCCTGGAATTCCAAGGAGCTCTTCAAGATGTCACATTCTCCTAACTCGGGGTATGAGGGCCATACCCCAATGACGGCCGCCATACAGAGCGCAGAGCCCACTCGCCTCTCTGATCCCGAATCGAAACCTACCAAGATGGACAAAGAGATAGAAGCCACGGAGAAGGACTCATCCAGCGCCAATCGCGCGACCTCGGTCGATAGCGGATCTATGAAATCTACATATGATCACACTCATCGCAAGCTCAAGCCCCGCCATGTACAATTGATCGGAATCGGAGGAACAATTGGCACAGCCCTATACGTTCAGATCGGATCTGGACTGCGGACCAGTGGCCCCGCCAGTTTGTTCATTGGATTCAGTCTTTGGTAAGTCTTTCCCTGTTATACTGTTTTGTTGACTCTGTCGTGTTCTGGACCTGGGTTGTCCCGACTTTGCTACTTTTGACAGCATCAACATGGATGGTAAGTAGGTGGTAATGCCAGAAACGAAAAGAAATCGGCCAGTGAATCAAAAAGGAGAAGCGAAGAAGCAAAAAGAAATAAGGAACCGTCCGACCAAACAAAGCATCAAGAAACAGGATTCGAAGCCTGATTCCACAATTTCAGACCCCAAAGGATGTAGGACGCTGTTAGCCCAAGCACTTCCATGCCAATCAGATGTATGAACGTCGAACAAATCGCCATTAGCCCCACGTTTGCCCATGCATCTGCCGAAAGCCAGTCGGACACCCAAGGACTCAACCCAGTCCATGATGCCCTTGCCTGGTTCCTGCGTATAACTCATTGAACGTTCGCAATCTTATACTGTTATCTAGGAGTTGTGTGATTTTGATCATCACCGTCTGTACGAATACCCTATGCTTCTCAAGCCCTTTGCATCTTTCCCGCCAGCAGCATTCCTCCCACCCCTGAAACCGTATCCTATATGATCCCAAATGCGCCAACGGTTCGGCTTCTTGCCCTAACGCCGACTGATTGCCCAATCGCTGCAACGTTCCTCCCGTCTTGCTCTCTCATCTCGTTTCGTAGTATGACATCCAGACTCACAATTTCTTTTCTAGGCTTGGCTGAAATGGTCACATACCTCCCTATCTCGTCGCCGTTCATTCGATTCGCCGGCCGTTACGTCGATGAAGCTTTGGGTGTTGCCGCTGGCTACAACTTCTTTATTTTCGAGGCGGCTCTGGTACCATTCGAGATTGTCGCCGTCAGCTTGATTATTAGATACTGGACCGACGTGATTCCCGTCGCAGCCATGAATGTGGTTATCATCATACTCTATGGGTTTGTCGTCTTCTTTAATGCGCGCACGAGATACGGGCTAATGAAATGGAAACAGAGTACTCAATCTCTTTGCTGTGAAATGGTACGGTGAAGCAGAGTTCTGGCTCTCACTGGGCAAGGTATTGCTGAGCATAGGCCTGATCTTCTACACCTTCATCGTCATGTTGGGCGGCAACCCGCTCGGCGATCGGTTTGGCTTCCGTTATTGGAACGAACCAGGTGCCTTCAACGAGTACTACAAGACAGGCGATACCGGCAAGTTCCTCGGTGTCCTCGCAGCTGTCATCACAGCCAGTTTCACCATCGCCGGTCCGGACTATGTCTCTATGGCCGCTGGCGAGACCATTAACCCACGCAAGGTGCTGCCCAAGGCCTTCAACGGTGTCTTCTACCGTCTCACGGCATTCTTCGTTCTTGGTGTTCTTTGCGTCGGCATTCTGGTCCCGTACAACGATAAGACCATGGCCGATGCTTTCGACAATGGCAAGCCTGGTGCTGCTGCCTCGCCCTACGTCATCTCCATGGATCGCTTGAAGATCCCCATCTTGCCAGACATCGTCAACGCCGTCATTCTCACTGCTTCGTTCAGTGCGGGCAACAGTTATATGTACTGTGCCAGTCGCAGTCTGTACGGTCTAGCGCTTGAAGGCAAAGCTCCGAGGCTGCTTACGAAGTGCACCAAGAATGGCGTTCCCGTCTACTGTGTCGGCATAGTGCTCATCATCGGCCTCTTAAGCTTCTTGCAGGTATCTAACAGCGCATCGGTCGTCCTAAACTGGTTTGTCAATCTGGTATGAGCTCCCGCCACCCCCATTCCCAATTTCTTTTCGATATATTCAACTAACCCCAAATCCAGGTCACCGCCTCCCAGCTCATCAACTTCTCCGTCGTCACTTTCACCTTCGTCCGTTTCAAGAAAGCTCTCGCCGCCCAAGGCATTGCCAGGGAAACATTGCCATACCGCAGCTGGTTTCAGCCGTACATCGCATACTTCGCTTGCGCAAGCACCACGATCATGGCTTTTGTCGGTGGCTACACCGTCTTCCTTCCCGGCAACTGGTCCATCCCGACATTCCTTTTCTCCTACACCATGATAGGCGTCTTCCCGGTCATTTACTTCGGGTGGAAATTGTTCCACGGGACCAAGCTCCTCAAGCCTGAGGAGGTCGATCTGGTTACTGGTGTCCCTGAGATCGAGGAGTATACCAGAGAATTTGTGGTCATACCGCCGAAGTGAGTACACCATCTCTTTTAATTATGATTCGGTGCTAACAACACTCATAGAACAGTCGTGCACAAGTGGTTCCAAATTATCTTTGAATAATATTTTCATGGGTCTCATCGTCGCTTTGGCTAATTGCGTATACTTACGATTACAACACACCCAGCTGACTTCCGATGCAGACCTGTGGATACGTGATCCATTGGGCGGTGATTCGTCTCTACTTTGGGCTGTAGACTGCATATGTTTATATGGTGTTAGCATCACTATGATACCCAATCAATACCCTATAGTTATTGGGGAATACCTCTTTGAAACGATAGCGGCAATTATTAGTCGTTCTTGACATCCAATGACATGTATGGATGTAATGATGCCAGTTATAATACATATGCGCAATACAGTAAACACCAAACAGTAGGAAGGTTCACATCCTCCATCAACACACACAAAGCCAGGCCAGGCCAAGCTCTCTGTGTCATGTTTTTATACACAATAATCAAGCTTCACCCGACCCTCCCTCCGCCTTCTCCTTCGCCCTCAGAGCCTCCAATCGCTTCTGATTCCGCTTCCCAAGAACGCGCAGAGTATTAGTCTTTTCAATCTCTGTCATCTGCTGCCAGTTCCCGATCTGCGACAACGTCCCGTCCACATTAACAACCATCGGACCCAGATGATCCAATTTCACCTCCGTCCCGCCTCCGCTCATGTCGATTTTAATGCCACCTTCGCCTTGTTGGTTTGCGATGGGATTTGAGGGGTCGCTGGCAGGGAGGTAGAGGTTCTTTTGGGGTTGGGGTTCTTGTTCTTGGGTCTCTTGGCTTTGGGTGTCTGCATTTTGGGTTGCAGGTTCTGAGGATGCAGCGGCTGCGGAGTCTGAGTTTGAACTCGAGTCACACATTGTGCGTGCCTGGCGCGTGCAGTCTGATGCTTTGAAGGTGGTTTTGCACTGCGGGAAGACGATGCTGTAAAGCCGGGTGTTTGGTGCTTGGTTTGCCGCGTTGAGGGATGTCCAGGTAGTAGTACCAGCCGGAATTGAAGCGCGCACGAAGGGGTTGACAGATAGGTGGAGGAGAGCGGCGCGGTAGACTGTGCGCGATACTTGCATGGTTCGGGGTTTGGAGGGAGGTTAGGTGGGCTTGGAGGGAGGAAAATAAGGATTGCGGAGTTGGCTCCGGCTTCTACTTCAACACTTCGATGGTTACACCGCATTCTCCAATTGTACTTGTATTAAATGTGAGGTCTTCCCGTGGACAAAATTAATGATTACTTGAATAATTCTATGCTGGATATATCATCTTCGATTCTGTGACACCGAGCTCACATGGTTGAGAGGAGGCCTCCAGGTGTGTCCACGGGTATGTACTCCGTCACATCGTGAGTCTGCCACGGCAAAACTTCCGCAGCATGTGCTGAATCGTCTCTATATGCTAGAGGTATCCAGTCTGAGAGCGATTGTGTGGCATAACCGATGATTTGTATTTGTTCACAGCGTATCAAGGCTTGAAAGACCTTGCCTGAAAGAGTCTCCACGGCCTTTCCAAGCATGTAGTACCAATTCTCCGACCTTCACTCAACCAGTCACAGAGAAAATTCAGATTGATCTGTTTAGGGCCGACCGGGCATCAGAGTCCTGTGCATAGACGTGCCGTATTGATACGGGCGTAGACATAAACTATCGAAACCACCAGTTGACCTGCGAACACATCAGCGACAGACATAAAGCCTACCAAAACAGACATACTAACCGAAGCTGTAACACCTCTACCAACACCCTTAATACTATGCCACCACCCCTTGGGAATGAACAACCCATCACCGGGCCCAAGACACGCTTCAAAGCCAGGCCCAGTATCCGAACCAGCAGACACCGGAGTCCCCCAAACCATCTCATCTAACAACACCCTCTCCATCCCCTGCATCATCTCCTCGCCCCGGAAAGCTGCTGCCTCCCGACTCCCACTCTTCCCCAGTTGCCTCCTCACAGCCCCAAACACAGCTTGTCCATCCGCCGGCGCAAGCAGTCGCACAACCTTCTCCCCGGCCAGCTGGACAAACAAGTTCGGGTTCGGGTCGCGGTGGAGTGGCGTATAAGTGGGCGGGTGTCCAATCCACACATTCGTATCGTATACATCGCCCTTGCCCGCGCGCGCCACAAGATCCGGCGTCGGAAAATCATCTCGAAGCACAGGAGGGAGGTCGAGGAGCTGGCACTGGGCTAGGTAGAGCCGCGTTGATTGGGACGTGGACTCGGCCGTGCGCATCCAGTTGAGGAACAGCGTGAGCGGCGCGCGAAACTGCCGGAAGCTATGTATCTCTGTTGCCCTGCCGTCAGATTCGGATGTAGTGTCTGTCGATGTGGATTCCGTAAGCTCCAATGGGACCAACGCGTCGGTGCCGTGTTTGTGGAGATATTCCACGTTCAGGCTTGCGACGGGGTTCGAGGTGCCTTGTGTTGACTCCTGACTCGCGCGTCTGAACCATTGTCTCAGAGCTGGAAGGTCTTGGAAGGTAGAGCGTGGAAAAATTGCCGGTTGTTCGGGGAGGAAGCATCGCTGTTGGAAGGTATCCAGGGTGGCATTTTCGAGGATGTCGAGTGGTCGGTACTGAGGGTGTGAAGAAGCGGAAAGGTTTCGGACACTTGATCTGGGTTTACAATAGAGGGATGAACGAGGGAGTTGCGTCCATACTCGGATTGGCCATGGCTGTAGCTTCATCCAGACCGACGTGGGAGGTGAAAGGGTGAGGGTTTTGAGAGACTACCTACATATGGGTGCCACGATAACCAGCTTTTGTTCTGGCAGAAAATAGTAACATACCGAGGCATGAGGTTAATAGTAAAATTTCTTAGTTTCAACATAAATATACTAAAAAAAGCCCAAGGAGATACCAAAAAGAACACCAAAAGATTGTCTAAAATACTTCCAACAAGACTACCAAAACAGACATAACAAGGCTGTGTAGGCAGCTAACTATCCTTGAGGGATAAGGCGGTGGAGAAGGCGGTGGTAGATCTCCGAGGTAACCCTTCTCTGGAATGGATCCAGTCACACGAGCCATATATTGTTGGAGTGTCCCCCATGTCGATCACAATGAAGGTACATGAAGCCGATGAAGGCCGAGGTCAATATGCATCCCCGCAGTTGTGTAGAAGCTACGCATGTACCTTTGCACATCGAAGACACCAAACAAAAGGCCATTCATGTGACTCGTATTTTCCTAGAAAGACACATATTCCGTGCCACCTTGGGTGTCTACATTGACATTTCACTCTTGTCCTCCCAGGTCTACCGTCATTGGGTTGCCTGTAATTACTTTAACCTGCACCATGCCTTCTTCCATCGCCCGTATTCATAAGCGCCATGCCTACAGCAAAGATGCGCACACTTATTACCCTGTCCTCATAGTAGGTGCTGGAGAGTCGGGGGTTGCCATGGGCTGCCGGCTCAAAGAGGCCCTGGGGACAGACCAGTTCCGAATATTTGACCGTCAGTCCGGTATTGGAGGTACCTGGTGGATCAATAGGTATCCGGGAGCTGCCTGTGACATGTAGGTGGTCCAAGTCTAATGCTTATTTACTGCATGACTAACACTAAAGGTAAAGACCAGCGACATTCTACTCCTTCTCCTTCTCTCAGAAAATGGATTGGTCCACACTCCATCCATCTGGTCCCGAACTGGCGCAGTATATGGCGGATGTATGCGAGAGATATCAAATTGTGGACAAGATTCAGTTGAATACCGATGTCAAGGAACTTCGATGGATCGAGGACGACGAGGAATGGGAGGTTACGCTCTCGCACCTTGTCCCTGGAACCGGTGATCTAGCTCAGCACGAACGAGATCGGATCGCAGCTCAGGAAGGTCATCAGAAAGTCTATGTCAAAACAGAAATTGTGCGAGCCAAAGTGGTCGTCAGTGGTGTCGGCGGGCTGGTAGAACCTAAGACATGGCCGAAGGACATCCCAGGTATTGAGGAATTCGAAGGTGAGATTATGCACACGGCTCGCTGGAACGACCAGATTGATTTGGAGGACAAGAATGTCGTCATGGTTGGTTCCGGCTGCAGCGCCGCGCAGGTAGTGCCAGAGCTTGCCAAGCCAGAGGCCAACGTTCGATCCATTACCCAACTCATGCGAACCCCTCCGTGGGTCCAGCCTGATATAATCCCTCCCAGATATCTCCCCTTGTACGAGAAATGGTCACCTACGCTGATGACCCACGTGCCTGGACTGGCGTCGTTCATACGAAGGGTTGGTTTCTTCATGCTGGAGAAGAGTTTCTACGATATGTTCACGGACACTGCATGGGGCCGAAGAGCGCGGCCGCAGCTAGAGAAGAAGTTTTTGGACCACATGCGCCAACTTGCGCCGGAGGAATATCACGAGATGTTAACACCAAACTACAGCCTCGGCTGTAAAAGACGGATCATCGACGGCACTTGGTATCGCAGTCTCAATGCCCCAAATGTGGAGCTGACTACTCAGCCTCTGGCAAGAGTCAATGCGAAGAGCGTGACTCTTGGTCCGGGCCGCCACTATCCACCCCGCAAGTCGGATAACGCAGTTGAGGCCAGGGAGATTCCTGCCGATGTGATCATCATGGCCAACGGGTTCGAAACCAACCAATGGCTGCACCCACTGAAGGTGATTGGCAGGGATGGTAAGGATCTTGAAGAGGTCTGGGCGGAGCGTGGAGGCGCCCAGGCATACCAAGGCATCGCAATGGATTCTTTCCCCAACTTCTTTATGCTTTTCGGCCCGAATACAGCAACAGGGCATACTAGTGTTATTTTCGCGACGGAGAATGCGGTAAACTACTCGTTGAAGTTTATCAAGCCGATCTTGAATGGTCAGGTTAGCTCGTTTGAAGTCAAGGAGGATGCTGAACGTGAATGGACTCGGCAGGTGCAGGATGCGCTTCAGCAAAGTGTGTTCCGTCGCGGGGCTTGCTCTAGCTGGTATATCACTGCCGATGGTTGGAATTCAACCACATATCCGTACGTTCCCTGCTTTCCGCTTTGTGGTTGTCACTGACATAGCATTCAGATTCACTCAGGTTCACTATTGGCTGCGTTGCACGTTCCCCGTGTGGCGGCATTGGACTGCGAGACTCACGAGAAAGGGTCGGGTTCTGCGAAGTGTCCGGAAAATACTCCAGAGTTCTGTCATTCTCGGTCTCATTGCAGCGTTTGGCTTCCTGCGCCAGAATCCTCAACAAAAGGCCCGGTTGGTACAGTCATGGCTGGCTGGGAAAGAATGGTTGGTCTCAGCAGTTAGGCAATTGACGTACTGATATCTCTTAATTTGGGTTTATTTGAGCCCTGAATCTTTCGAAATTGGAGCACTATCTTCAGAGCCAATATTTCCATGCGATTAATAACATTATGATCATGTACATCAGTATATTCATACCTATATTCTCCATGAGTAAATATGCCCCGGGGCCAATGACAGGCCGGATAATCAGCTGAGTAAGCTGAATCTGGGGAAGCCCCGCGAGGGAGGAATTTCTCCGCACTTCGACGCCGGTATCTCTCTCCGGCTACTCATTGAGTCGCTTCAATATTCTGCGGGTCATGGCTTCAGAGTCACCTCAGCTAGAAATGTCACCACCACAGACGGACCCCCGCGATCAGTCCATCGGTGCGTCCGATTCCAACAAGAGAAAGGCGGAACAAGCCAACGGAACACAGGCGCGCACAAAGCGGAATCGCTACATCTCCATTGCATGGTATGATATGGCCTGACCCGGCGACTTTTTCTTTCCGTTACCGCGGTCGCTTCACCTTCCAGTCTTGCGACCGGTCGGATAACCTGTTTTGCATTCAAAGTCATACGATTCTGCCTTCTCCTTCGGTGCCTATGTCGGGATATCCGAGCTAACCATGGAATTTTCAGTAATGAATGCAAGCGGCGCAAGATCAAGTGCAATGGCCAAATGCCTTGTCAACGGTGTGGTCACCTGAATTTGGAATGTAAGTAGCTTTTGACCCTGTTGACGGCTCGCAACTCTTGCGTCCGAGCTGTTCGATCCTCGGTATTAAGCCCTGACCCACTCTCCAGGTCGCTATGCGCCCAATTGTTGCAATAACAACTTCAAAGACTCGGAGTAAGCCAAGGAATAAAAATCCGCCCAGCATTTGATACTAATTGCCGAGCTAGTGAGTTCCGGTCGATGACAGATCAGATCACTACTTTACAAGAACAAGTCAATAGCTTGTTCAGCAATCTCAATGACCTTCGTACCCAGAGACCAGCCTTTGAGTCACCAGGATTTGAGCATCTCTCTCGCGATGGGTCTCAATCGGTCTACACTCCAATGCAAGCCGGCCTAGCAAAGCCACGAGCCCGTCACCCACGCTTCCATGGTCCAACAAGCTCGGCCTTCAATTTTGACGTGGCCAAATCCAGCTTGCAGAATATGGGTATTACCGCAGCTGAAGATGGAATCCCAGATGACTTGACCACTGCACATGTTTCTCCAACAGACTCACCAGCTCCCAATCTGGGACAGCTTCTCCCAATTACACATCCTACCAAGGATCCAATATGGTCGATCCCTCGTGAAGAGGCAATGCGTCTTTGTAGAGTTTACGAGGAAGAGATTGGGATCATGTATCCTGTCGTGGACATCGCCAAGGTTACCAACCAGGCTAATCTGCTCTACACATTCATAGAGGCTGCTACCAGGACAGGCTTTGCGCAAAAAGGCTTTCCGGGATCTGATGGCCTTCACGATGAAAGCTCGATTATTCTTAAATTGATTCTCGCAACCACGCTGGTCGTGGAGGGGGGCGGTCAAAGTGAACTCGGGCAGCGGCTCTACCTGGACGTCAAGCCATTTATAGAATCAAAGTTATGGGAGTCTCATACCATCAAAACTATCCAGCTCTTTGCTATTGTGGTAAGTCAAGGTCTCTTCAACAGCGGCAGTCAATAATTCTAACTCTGTTTCCTACTCCAGGCCACATACCATTACCATACAGATGATGACGCTATGGCTTATCGGATTATTGGATTAGCGGCACGAATGTGTTTGGAGATGGGATTACATCGCCGGGATGCTTTGGTGAAGTCATTCCCAGATGAGGTGCAGTGGGACGAGATCACTCGGCTGTTCTGGTCAGTCTACAGCTTGGACAGGCGATGGAGTCTAGGAACCGGGTTGCCTTTCGTGATTCAGGACGAGGATATTGATCCGAACTTACCAGAACCTGTAAGGCTGCATATCTCTCGGCACGCAGTTACCTTTTTTTTTGTAACTAACATGTGAAAATTACAGGATGCATCGCTGCCTTACTTGCGCTGCATGGTCCTATACAACCGGATCAGCTCCAAGATCTGGTACTCTGGTTTGGGCTCCGAAGGCACCACTGACATCCGTCGTGATGAAATCGGCTATCTGGATTACCAAATCCTACAGTGGTACAAGCAAGTTCCAGACGAGCTCAAGTTCTATCCTGTCGAGGCTCCCAAAAACGGTGAAAACGTAAGCAGAGGCATGAGGCGACTTAGGGTTCTCTTGTACCTGCGGATGAACCAGCTACGCATTCTGATCTATCGCCCTGTGCTCCATTCTCCTGCCAGTATTGCCGAAGATCGAGGCCATGCCCAGACTGTTGTGGAAGTAGCCAAAGACACCGTCCGCGTCCTCACCCGGCTAAACCAGATGTCCGATATCTACCGGACACAGCAAATAACGTTCAACTACTTCC